CCCGTGGCTGCCGGGGGGGGTGAGAAAACCCGGGGGGGCCCGCCACTCCCCGCACCCGCTCAGTCCTAGAGATCCCCCCACCGGGCCCGTGGCTCGCCCTAACTGGGCCTGCCTACTGCTCTCAGCAGAGAAATTCTCAGCGTCCACTGAGACGGGTCCAGAACCGCTCCTCTACCCGCCCCTCCCCCTTCTCGCTCCGGTCACTGCACAGACCCAGTGCTGGACTTCCTAGGAGTGTCCAAGCACCGTTCACTGAGGCCAGAAGAGTTGAATCGCCTCAGGTGCCCCTGGGTGGTCGGAAGGCCAGAGAAATAGGGGCTTCTCTTCTGGGGAATCCAGTAGTCCACTGAGACGGGTCCAGAACCGCTCCTCTACCCGCCCCTCCCCCTTCTCGCTCCGGTCACTGCACAGACCCAGTGCTGGACTTCCTAGGAGTGTCCAAGCACCGTTCACTGAGGCCAGAAGAGTTGAATCGCCTCAGGTGCCCCTGGGTGGTCGGAAGGCCAGAGAAATAGGGGCTTCTCTTCTGGGGAATCCAGTACCGGGGAGCGCAGCCAGGGGCAGGGACTTCCGGCCCAGCCAGCGCTGTGTGCCGCGGACTCCTTCCTCTGGCCAATGCACGGACCCCCTGCTCCAAAGGCTAGCCCCCTTGCTCTGCGACCTATAGGACGGAAAAGGTAAGGGTGCACTAGTCGTGCCTCTCCCCTGGCAGTGACCACCACCGGCCCCGTTGGGCTCGCACATTTCCAAACGCCTGCCCTGGATTCTACGCTCCCCGCCCTCCCAGGCAACCCCGGCAGGTGGCCCTGCAAAGCCTACTGCCAGGTGCACAGTCCCGGCCACTTCCTGGAAGGGCGCCCTCCTCCGGCACAGCTTGCCTCTTGCGTCTCACGCGGACCCTTCTACCTCCGCCCCCTACCGCGGGCATAGACTTGGAAGGGGGGAGGGGAGACCCCACCCTCGCGAGCTCGCGTCTCCTCTGCGAAGAGAGGGCTCTTGGCAGACCCATACCTTCCCTGGAGCCCCAGGCGCGGAAAGTTTCCCGTCCGCAAGCCAGGTCTTTGCTCCTCCTTCATCCTGAGGAGCAGAGCTCAGAGGCCGAGCCAGCTCCCCCTACCCAGATGAGCTCACCTGGGCACCCAACCGCCCCCCGCAGCCTGCAGAGGCGGACATGGGAGTGGAGGCGCAGGACGCTCGGTCAGCTCTCCGCAGCCCGGCAGCCAGAGGAACGCTACTCCGGGGTTCTGGGGAGAGCTCTCAGGGTGGGGTCCTTATGGAACCGGGGTTAATCACCCAGCCCCTTCCATCAGTCGCCACCCCTATCCCAGGGCGTCCTTCTGTCTGTGCATTCCGGAGAAAAGGGGTGATCGCCTCTTGTCCCCAACCTCCAACGCCCAGCTCCCTGCAATGTCCAGGTGAGGGCTCCAGTGCCTTTCAACAGAGCGGAGCGTCCGGACACCCCCAACCCCCACCCCATATAGCCTTTCCCTCTAAAGGTATCCGAAGCGAGGAGCCCTCGCCCCAAGTTTGGGGCGAATCTGATCCACTTTGGAAAGTCTCCGGCTCCCAGAGGAGGAACACGAAGTACAAGGCTCGCATTCCTTCTGAGTTACGCCAGCGCCCCCGCCCCCTCCCCGCCGACAAGCCCACCTTCCAGGCTCGCATTCTGCAGCTTCTGCAGCTGCAGACCCAGCAAGCTCTAAGGACTTCGGGGTGAGGTTATTTTAGGGAGAGACAGCCCCTCCTGGCAGGCACTCTCTGAGCCTGGCTAGGCACCTCCTGGTGGGACAAGGCATATGACACAGAGCTGATCCCCCACCTCTATCACGCAGCTGGGCTAGGGACTGAGACCCTAAGGGTTGCAATGGCTACTTTTCGGCATCCCGCAACTTCCCCCGCCCCACTCCGCGGCCGGCGTGCGCGGGTCTGACTTCAGCCAGGCTGATTCTGGGCACCCAGCATGGACCCGCGGCTTAAAGGGAGAGCCAGGTCGCGGGCCCTCAATTCTCGGCGCCAGCAGCTGTTCGTGGTCCCGCCTCCCTCCCGCCGGGCTCACAGCGCAGCCTCGGGCATTTGCTCTCCGCTCGCTGCGCGAAAATAGCCGGTGTCTCCAGGTTCGGCTTGGGCACCATTTGAGACCAACCAGGCGCGGCAGCGTCAGGCAGGAGGCCCTAAGTCAGCAGCGATACCCAGACCCTGAAGCGGCGGAGGCTCCGCTTGCTGGTTCTGGGAAACCGCTAGGCTCAGCCTCGCTGGAGACCAAGTCCAGGCGGGACACACACACAAGCCCACACTCTGAGCTGCTCACACCTCCTCAGCCGGGCGCGTCCATACCTTCCTGCACCCAAGAACCCCGCGCTCCATCGCGTATGCACACACTCCCAGCCCATGAAGTACCACGATTCCCTTGAACCTGCACCTCTACAACCCCAAATAGGCAACGCTGCTGTGCTGTCCGAGTGTCACACTCCCACCTCCTGTGCGCACAGAAAATCCGCTGTCATACACCCCTAAAGGGGCCCATACACTTGGGACACGCGTGAAATGCCACACCTCACACTCACCCACCCCTCATCACACTCACGCATACGATGACACAAGCTCACACACTTCACACTCTCACCAAGAAGCTGGCACACGCTCACAGCCAAGCACTCTCACTCTTCCTCGCAAACGCATCGTCTCCGTGTAACTGACATAGACACTCCAACAGCCCCTCCAGACGCCCGTTCACTCACAGACCCCACACCGTCTCTCTCTCTCTCTCTCTCTCTCTCATACACACACACACACACACACGCACGACACACTCACATCTAAATATTAATATATTCCCGCACCCTCTCCACACACAGCTCCTTCCTGGACACTCACACACGGACGCGACAAAGACACACGCTCCTACACACACACACACACACACACGCTCACACGCTCACACGCACACCCCGGCATAAACCCACGAGTGCTCTCTCCGAAAGAGACGTCCTCCTCTCTAGCCAAGCCAACCAGCTCCAGAGACTCCCACCCCAGGACCGGTGCTCGATCCCACGCCTCTCCGAGCGATCCCGGCCGGCGCCCTTCCCGGCGGCCGATCGGCTTCCGCCGGGTCCCGCGCACTCACCGCGCGCCAGGTCCAGGATCGCGGCGAGCAGCAGGCAGACGCAGCCGCGGAGGCTCGAGGCGGCTCGCATGGTGCCCGG